ACTGTACTATAAGAAAATTTGTCAACTCAATGACAAACAAAACAGAAAAAGGAAAAAACAAAACTTAAATCTTTATTTAACTCATTTAGTTTATTGTTCTTAAAGTACACAAAATTATAATGATATCATATGTAGGGTAAGCAAGTTGTGGGGCTTTTAACATAAATTGACACAAATTGCTAGCAATTTTACATGATTAATTAATGATAAGCTGCAGAAGTAAACAGGCAACTAGCATAAGGACAAAATAATCTAACCAGTGAATAATGAGTATGACTAATAGCTTCTTAGTTTATATTCTTTTGTCCTTTTTATGACTAAAATAATTTATATGAACATTAAATATGTTTACTACCATTGATTCCATCGTTTTCTATTAGTAAGTCAAAGCAGCTTATCTCACTTTTGTAAAAATTTGCATTTCTTGTCTTGAGGGATGTCGTAATACTAGAAGCTATTTGCAGCTAAAAATCTTCGTACTTTGGGCCATTGAATTTTCATAAAAATAAAAGGAAAAGAAAGTAAAAGTGGTGAATTGTTTTTGACAAGAGAAAATAATGTGTGACATGTGATTGATAATCTGTATGTTTTGGAAAGTCAAATCTTTCTGGTTACCTACTGCGTACATTAGAATCAATAGAGAATATATATATATATATATATATATATATATATATATATATATATATATACGGAGAAGGATAAAATAATATTGATATGTGTTGTTTTCATTCTGGATAATTTAATCTTAAAATTAATTGTTAAACTAAAATTTTAATGTAATATATGTTTCAATTATCTAAAGATTTTTTAATTATATTTTTATAGTTTTTTAATTTTAACAAAAAAAATAAATAATTAAAATAATCTATATTAATAATTTAATGATTAGATTAAAAATATTATTAATCATATAAAAGTGACTTAAGCTTATACAATGTAATTCGATATCATTAATTAATTAATTAATATTATCTCCAAAAATTAATTAGAATACTGTTAGGTGTAAATCAAATTTATTTTTTAGATAAATAATTAAATAAAAAGTATTTAATTTTAAATTTTTTAATACATTGTTTTTAATTGTATATTATAAATATTATGTGCATTGATTGTATGAGTCATTTTTATTTTTTTAAAAAAATTATGAAGTAGAAAATATGGAAGGGAAAAATTATTCAAAGTTATAAGATATAAATATATAATTAATTTTGAAAATAAGTAAAAAAAATATAAGTAGCTTAAATATTGAGAGAAAAAATTAAAAAACAAAAGTATAAATCTTTAAAATTTGAGATGAAAAAGAAAAAGTTAATCGAATCATTTTTAAAAAGTTGAAATTTGAAAAAAAAAACATAAAATAAAAGATTTTAAAGTAATTATTAAGTTTTAAAAAATATAAAATAGTGATAAATACATTTATTTAAGAAAAAAAGATAATAAAATATAAGATATTCTCTCTTTTAAGAATAATTTATTAGAGTTATATTATTCATCATTAAATGGTATTTTAGAACTCGATTTTGACGTTGCCTTTTCAAAGCTTCTACTATCTTATTCATATATATTTTTGTTCTATATTTTAGAATGATCATAAATCATCTCAAGGACTTTGCATATCACTCTTGTTATGTACACAACTGTTATGTTATTAAAACTTTATTTGAAAGCTCGAAGAGAGAATAAAAAAAGTTTAAAGGATAAAAAAGAAGGGAAGAAGAGATGTTAATATAAAATTTTAATTAAAAAATTATAAAATTATGAGAGTTTATAAACTCTTTCATTTAGAAACTCTTAAATAAAGATAATTTTCACATAAGTCTTAATCTTTTCACCCCTCTCCAAAAACTAATTCAGAAACAAAGCTTAAAGGGTTTGTTTTGCCTTTCATCCCTCCATCTGTGTTATCTCCTGTGAAAAAACTAATTGTCTTGAAACTGTATAACATTTTAAGATAGCAATTCATCTCTGATGGTTATAAGGAAATTTTCTTCTTAATAATGGAACGATAAGAAAATAAAATCATTTAAAAAAACTAAAGAATTTATTCATCGGAACAAAATAGGATAATATGAAAAGTCACAAGTTCAAATCTTTGCTCCTTGAGCTTAACAACATTTCCTAACTTATACTTGACACTTTTTTTTCCTAAAATTTTTGTAAATAAAAATAAAAGTAGAAAAAAAATTCCAAGAAATCATTCAATAGACAAGTCCTTTATTTTTTTAAAGACAAAATGTTGTCCAATGACAAAAAGAGAGAGAGAGAGAGAAAATAATTCACGAAATTTATTAAATTTAAAGTGTTAGTAAAAGAACCAGTCGATTAACTAATAATATAAAATAAAAAATTAAATGCATTGTAATTAAATAGACTAAAATTTAAATTTAATAATTATATATTTTTAAAAATTGATTTTTATATTTTTATTTATTTAAAATAATTAATTATCTTTAAATAAAGATAATGCATTTTTAATTTCACTCTCATTTATAAATATTTTATTATAATAAATTTTAATAAATTATTTTATAAAATAATAAATGTTGTAACATTTATTTATTTATTTTATTATGTATTTTCTTCCTTTTCAATGTAACAAAAATAAAAAAATGTAGAATATTAAAAATTGAATAAAAAAATATTTACTTAAAAATAATAGAGACAAAAATGAAAAATTTATTTTTAAACTAATAATTAAAAATAAAATTATATTAATATAAGTTGAGTTTAAAAAACACTTATAATTACTTATTTTAACTACTTTATCAAATAATATTATTTTTATTAAATAAACTTACCATTTCAAAGTGAGGGTAATACTTATTTAAAGGGAGAATTCTCCTCAATGAATAAGGTTAGTATTAAAGCTAAATATGAACACAACATATAATTTTTATACCATTTTAAACAATAGAGATACATTATCATTTTTATGCGATAAAATTACATGTGTACCTTGAAACTCAGCGAGATTTTTACAATATTTTAAAAATATAATGACTTTAAAAAGAAACACCTCAGGCTTCATTTAAATCTCTTCATTTGCTTCGCGAAAGTGCTCCAATAGCTGCGTGGTGTGACGTTGGATGCAATTATACATGTCATCTCATCTCTTTATCCATTTCATCTTTTTTGCCCGTTGGTACCCTGCCTACACATGCCATTTATCTTTCTCATTCTTAAATATTTCATTCTGGTCCTGTAATCTTCTTTCTCTCTTTAGAATCTCAGTCAATTCTCTCTTTAATCTATCTATTTTATCTTGCATTTCTTTCACTTAGAGAGAGATTTTTTTCCTCTTTTTTCAGAGCCTTAGTCAACATATTTATTTTATCTCACATTCCCTTCATTTTAGAAAGAGATGCTTTTTCTTACCTTTTCTTTTTTACTCCTTTGCAATTTGAGTCATCAAACCAATCGATACATTGATTTTTCAAATAATTTATTTCTTTATCTTTCCTTTGACATTGTCCCTTAAGCCTGTCAACCTCTACCTTGAAGTGTTCTCCTTCTTCTTCTAATAATCTCATTTGTGCTTTCACTCATTCTAAAGAGGTCGTTAAGAAAGTCATTTCACTTGGTGCTTGAAAAGATTCCTTTTCTTGAAAATCTTCTTCAAGGGTTTGATCTTAGGTTCTTCTAGTTTTCCTCCATTTTCGATATTGTGACAAGACAATTTATTTTTTTAATTTTTGTTAAGATTTGCAAAGAAATTAAGGTTTTTTAAGATTTATGAAACAAGAAAGATTTTTAGGATTTAAAAAATGATGGTTTACGGTTTGTCAAAAAAGATTTTTTTTGGCTTGCAAAAAAGAGAAATTTTTTTAGGGTAAAAAAAATTAGGTTTTTAAGGTTTGCAAGAAATGAAAGATTTGTAGGGATTTGTAAAAAAAAGATTTTGGGTAAAAAATTAGGTTTTTTAGGATTTTGTGAAAATAATAATTTTTAGGGTAAAAAAAAAGGCTTTTAGATATTTTACAAAAAGGACAAATTTTTTGGGTTAAAAAAAAATTATGATTCCATGTTTACAAGAAAAGAACAAATTATTAGGTTAGAAAAAAGTAGGATTTGCAAATAAGAATTTTAGGATTAAAAAGAAAATTAGGGTTTTAGGTTTACAAGAAAAGAAAATATTTTTGGGTTAAAAAAAACTAGAGTTTGCTACAAAGAGAAATTTTTAAAACAAAAAAGAAGAAAACACATACATACAAAAAGTAAAAGGGAATGACAAAAAAAATAAAAAATAAAAATAGTTCTTACTGAAAGATAAAGAAAAGTTTATTCTATTTTTTTTGTTGACTCTTTTGTGATATAGGTCTTGACTGAATTTCTTTTTTAGTTCTCTATATTTGTTCTTTCTAAGTGACCTCTAGAGAATGTATTTTAACACTCTCAAAATGTTTATTTCTCTTTTTAATTTCAAGTACTCTTAAAACTTCTGTTTTTTTAATCTCTTTCTCTTGTGCTTTAAGATTTTCAGAACGTTTATTTTTCTTTAACTTTCTTTTCTCTCAGTTTCAAGTACTAGAACTTTTGTTTTCTTTAACCTTTTTCTCTTTCTCTCTCTCTTTTTCTTAAACTCTCATGAATCTAAAATTTTAAATTCTATCTAATTTTTATATTACTTTATTTATTATTATTTATTTTTAAAACTTTATTTAAATAGAACTTAGATAAAATTAGATGTTTACATATATAATACAATTTTATTAAGGATTAAATTTAAGTATTTAAAAATAATAAAATTTTATTTTAAAAAATATTAATTATACTAAAGATATAAAATTTTAATAAATATTTTTATTTTATTATTTTAAATATTTAAAATCAATTTTTAAAGTTAATATTAACAAACAAAATCATAAATAACATAACGTGACTAGATAAAAAAATAAAAAATAAAATGATACAAAATGTTAAATAGAAGTTTGATATTATGTGTACATGAATCATGATTGAAGTATAAACTCACCATCCCTCAAAACAAGGATAGCCTTATCCAAATGGGAGGCAATGCGAGACCCACGATGAATGAAATGAGAGTGTCAATGCTAAAAACTCCCTTAACCCAATTTGAATATTTGATGAATCAATAGGGCAAGCTTCGAACTTTTCAAATTTCACTACAGAAGTTTGAGTCATTGATGCTTGTGTGTGCTTGTTCTTCACACCAACCATGGTCCTCAACCATACCTACACTCACCATGTTCCCAAAATGCACTACCATGGATCACGTGAATCAAATCCATGCACGCATGGTAACAACTGGGTTCATAAAAAACACTTCCCTCACCACCAAACTCGTTCTCACTTTCATTTCTTCACCTCATGACCCTCTTGTTGAGTTTGCTCGCTATGTCTTCTTCAAGCACCATGCTTTTCGTGTTCCCCATTGGCAAGATGACCCTTTTCTTTGGAATGCTGTGATCAGGTCTTATTCTCATGGTTGTGACCCAAAAGGGGCTCTGGTTTTGTTCATCTTGATGCTTGAAAATGGGGTATGTTTGGATAAGTACTCGTTTTCCTTGGTTTTGAAGGCTTGTTCTAAAGTGGGTTTGATGAAAGAGGGAATGCAGGTTCATGGATTGTTGTGTAAGACAAATTTTGGGTCTGATGTATTTTTGCAGAATTGCTTGATTGGATTGTTTGCGAGATGTGGCTGTGTTGAGCTTGCACAGCAACTGTTTGATAGAATGCCTGACCATGATGCTGTTTCTTATAACTCAATGATTGATGGGTATGTGAAATTTGGGATGGTTGAAAGAGCACGCAAGTTGTTTGATGGTATAAGACCGGAGGAGAGGAATTTGATTACTTGGAATTCAATGATTGGAGGGTATGTGAGGTCTGAAGAGGGGCTGAAGTGTGCTTGGAGTTTGTTTGTTACGATGCCTGAGAGAGACTCGGTGTCTTGGAACACAATGATTGATGGTTGTGCTAAGCATGGGAAGATGGAGGATGCTAGAGCATTGTTTGTAGAGATGCCGGAAAGGGATTTGGTTAGTTGGGTTACTATGATAGATGGTTATGCAAAATCAGGTGATGTTTGTGCTGCAAGGCACTTGTTCGATGAAATGCCCAGGAGGGATGTTATTTCATGTAATTCAATGATGGCTGGCTATGTTCAGAATGGTTACTGCATTGAGGCTTTGAAACTATTTCATGATATGAGAAGGGCAACAAATATGTCACCTGATGATACTACATTGTTGATTGTTGTTACAGCAATTGCTCAATTAGGACATGTTGAAGATGGAGTTGTGATACACCGATACTTAATGGACAAGGGGTACTCTCTGAGTGGTAAACTTGGCGTTGCTCTTATTGATATGTATTCAAAATGTGGTAGCATTGAGAATGCTATCTCAGTGTTTGAGAATATTGAAGCAAAACATGTTGATCATTGGAATGCTGTGATTGGGGGGTTAGCTATTCATGGAATGGGTGAAATGGCTTTCGAGTTTCTCACAGAGATGGAAAGGCATTCTATTGTTCCTGATGATATCACGTTCATTGGAGTGTTGAGTGCTTGTAGGCATGCCGGCATGTTGAAGGAGGGACTGATATGTTTCGAGCTCATGCAAAAGGTATACAAGTTGGAACCGAAAGTGCAACACTATGGATGCATGGTGGATATGCTTGGCCGAGCAGGACACGTTGAAGAAGCCAAGACACTCATTGAGGAGATGCCTATTGAACCCAACGACGTGATTTGGAAGACTTTGCTTAGTGCTTGCCAAATTTATGAAAACTACTCGATAGGAGAGCCTGTAGCTCAACAATTGACACAGCTAAATTCGTGCAGTCCAAGTTTCTATGTGCTACTGTCTAATATTTATGCCAGTTTGGGCATGTGGGACAGTGTTAAAAGGGTTAGGACAGAAATGAAAGAAAAGCAGTTAAAGAAAATTCCAGGTTGTAGTTGGATTGAACTGGGGGGGATTGTTCACCAGTTCTCTGTTCAAGATAGGACACACCCTCATGTTTCTGAGATTTATTCTCTGTTAAGTAGCTTGTAAATTCCTATTCTCTGTGCATAGTGTATGACAAGTGGATATGTTTCTAGATCAGCCTAACTATGTAGATAAGTGGTCTGTGTAACAATTTGTTGGTTTCAAAATAGAATCGAGGACTAACATAGTTTTATACGTAATTTGTCTTCATTTTTTTACCCACGTTGACAAATTTAGCATGTTCATATAGTTAGTCTCTTATCTATATGCAAAATATAATGAAATGTGAATCTTGTGGTGTTATAAGATGAGAATGTCCAATATCGTAGCAGAAATATTTGCAAGAAACCTGTTTTATGTAGATTGATGGTAAGTTATAAAAAAATTCAACATAAAATATTTTCAAAGTTGTTTCATTCCTTTTATGGCTTACACAAAATTGATTCTTGCATTTCAGCACTTCCAAATTGTTGACTTCATAACAAATGGAATGAAAGCAACATGTTACAGTAAGTTTTACAGCCCATTGCCCACAAGTAACTTTTTGACTCTTAACACTCTACAAATACACATACGAAAATCATAATTTGACATCAACAATTCCCATTTCGCTTACTTCTAATGTTCTTTTCCATTCTACCTTTCTTTTTGGATCACTATGAACAACCAAGGTTTTACACCCACTTCTTTTGACTTCTATTTTCTACTTTCATCTTCCTCTTCCCTTAGACACTTGTCCTGAAACATGTCTGCAGAAGAGCCCCATCAGAAAGTGACTATGTTGAGCAATAGAGCAGGCACACGAGGAACAACATAAACGCATGGGTTCTTCCTTATCTTGTCTCTTTACAAGAACTAAATATGAACTCAAAGATTCTCCACTTCTGTATTATTACAAACCTGGCAAGTTTAAAAATTTCATTAATCTCACTTTCTTCTTAATTGTAATCTCTTTTTTCATTCATATTTATACCAAAACACTTACAAAAATTTCCTTTTTTCTTTTTTAAACCAACACTCCTCGATAAGCAGTTATCTTTAGGAAATGAATTATATTTTCTTAAATCATTTTCATGCATGTTATTAGAACATTTCATTAATAATTCCCAAATAAAAAATATGTAAAATTCACGTTAATGACCTATAAAAAAGGATTAGTTTTACTTTATCTTAATCCAATCCTATATTATAAAGTCACTAATGCTGAAGTGTACAAAAATATTAGCATGAACATTTTTACGAAAGCACATGGTTACTAATTCACGGTTAGATATAAAACTTTTATCTTGATATTTTATCTTACCCTCTAGTTATATAAAAATATGTCAATTTGTATTAATTTTTTTCGTCACATATATAATCACTATTATGAATTTGAGTTCTTATTCTTGGATGACAATATTTTTAGGAGCTACTATCCTGTCATTAAGTTAGTTGCTTCACCAGTAAATATTTTATTTGATCTTTTTTTTATATTTTTAAAATACTATTACTTATATTAGTTAATTTAAATTTATATGAAATTTTAAATTTTAAATCTTAGGCCTATCTAATTAAAGATATCATTAAGCATATAGATTATTAACTAACATGAAGTTGTTTTAACTCAATCGATATAGTGATAACACGTCTAGAAAAAAAAATTAAATTTAAATTTTGACACTTTATATCAAATTAAAAGATGTAGTGATGACATGTCTTGATTTAAATAGTCTATTTTTATAATTTTTTCATTTACTAGTGAAAGAAATCTATTATTGTACTTTATTTTTAAAAAAAAATATATTTTCATTCTTACTAAATAACAATGATATTTTTTTTATATACTTTTATTTTTATCTCTAAACTATATATTTTTATTTTAAAATTTATTTAGATTTAAAACCACTCGTACAACACAAAAAAAGTGTAAAAATAAAATATTTTCTTTTATGTTTATTTAAAAAAAGATTTTGTCGTCAAAGACTAGTTTAACTGCAGAGAATCCCTAATTATTATTTTTGGGCGTAAGGAAGAAACCCATGAGAATAAAAAACATAGGCCCAAACCTTACAAGTGATAATGGCCCAATCCAATAATAAGGTATGCCCTAGCTTCCTCTACCTTCTTATTCACAGGGTTTCTCTATATCTGCTTCTGTTCTTCTTCAGTGCAGGCGCAGCAGACAGAGAGAGGAATCGTCCAAACGCAGTCACCATGGGGCGCATGCACAGTCGCGGGTTTGTTCCCCTGTTCTCAGTACCTCGCTACACCTTCTTGAAACCCTCTTCGTCGTTTCTCTTGTTTGGTTTTCTCTAACGTTGTTTCGTTGGATGTGTGTTTTTCAGTAAGGGTATTTCCAGTTCGGCTCTTCCCTACAAGAGGACCCCTCCTAGCTGGCTCAAGATCTCTTCTCAGGATGTAAGAAATCTCAACCCCTTCTACATTTTTTTATTCCTTTGTTTATATTACTTTTCTTCTATAATGATGGAAAAATTGTGACTGTTAGCTAAAAATCCTTTTTTAATTCGTATTTTATGTCTACATATTTTAAGTTTTTATTTGTACGAGTTTTTGTAATTTGTTATGCTATGTGACGTTTGTTCATGTGTAGTTTACTTTGTTAAATATGTATACAGTTATGTTTGACATGATTATCCCTTTGATATGGTCTAATCTTAATGTTCACTTAGTAATATTCACTTTATACACAAGTGCATTGATGATTTCTGTTTTGACTGTGGTTTTTAATTTTGAATTTGTATTATGTTAATTGATACAATGTTATAGTGGTATAGGTGTGAATTGTGTTGCTTTTGTTGTTGGATGTTTTGAATTTCATAGGTTGAGGAGAACATCTGCAAGTTTGCGAAGAAAGGTCTCACTCCATCTCAAATTGGTGTCATTCTTCGTGACTCTCATGGAATTGCTCAAGTGAAGAGTGTCACTGGAAGCAAGATTTTGCGTATATTGAAGGCTCATGGTATGGTTTTACGTCGTTATTTTTGGTTACAATGTTGGGTGGGTTTAGAAGTTTGACAGCTTAAATGCTTTTTTTTCTCTTATCTTAGGGCTTGCACCTGAAATACCTGAAGATCTGTATCACCTGATCAAGAAGGCAGTGTCAATCAGGAAGCACTTGGAGAGGAATAGGAAGGACAAAGATTCTAAATTCAGATTAATTTTGGTTGAGAGTAGGATCCACCGCCTCGCCCGTTACTATAAGAAGACAAAGAAGCTTCCACCTGTATGGAAATAGTAAGTATTCAGCATTTATCTTCTCTATAGAGGACATAACTTTTAGAAATTTATAAGGTTTGATTGTTTTATGTGAGTCAGTTTTAGATAATCAGGTAGGGACGGGACCAGGTGTGATGCATTGAATCTATGTGACCTTGTGCTTGTAGCATTTCTCTGTTATTCATTTCCTCATGTTTAAGCTCTACTTTTGGTTACTGATATTAGGGTTTTTCTGCGGGTCTTACATCTCTAATGTCTATTACTCTTCGACCCTCAATATTTGCTATAATTGATATTTAAGCTTTTGTGATTTTCCAAAGTTTTGGATAGCTGGTGATCTGTATTGAGGGTGGGTTTTTGGCATCATATGTTAAATATTCTGCTATTTGCATTTAATTTGTGGACTAATTTTCATGCAAGTTCTAACAGTGTATTTGTTGTCTTTCTTGACAATGGCTAGTTATTCATATTTTTCTATATTATAGATACATGTTGTCGATTGAGGGTTGTGATGTTTGATCACATTTCTGTATTACCTTCTTTTACATTCTCTTGCTTTTAGCTGTGGCATTTAGGTTGAGTTTTTTGACAGTGTCCTGGTTTTCTAATACTTGTTTGGTTTATCCACTATTGCAGCGAATCAACAACTGCCAGCACTCTTGTGGCTTAGAGTGGGATGATTACTTATAGAGTTCTACCGTTAATGTACTTTTTGATAAGCAAATCTATTTCTTTGATGTGATTTTCAAGTTTTGAAACACTTAAAATTTATGTCAAGACTTTTTTCTTATGGTAGTTTTCAAGATGGATTTTGTTCTTATTGATTACTGATATTTGGTTCTTTCTATCCTATAATTTTGTTATCGGAGTGATGTTTCTTGTGGGATTACTATCATTACGCCACACGCATTGTTTGGAAGATGACTGAAATAAAGAGCAAAAGAACTAGAAAAAAATAAAATAGACAAGAATTGAATCCAGAGAAATGAGTAGAACGGAAAGTAATGAATTAATATTAAATTGTGTAAAAAAGTTTACATTTATTAAAAAATAATTTTAACTTAATAAACTTTTTACTCCTTTCATTAATATAGAACTTTATTTTTATGTTATACAAATTTGTTTAATTTTGGGTCGGAATTTTAGTTTGGTTGGCCTAAAATTTGTACTTATCTCCGTTTCTCCCAAATATAGCTGAAATTTTATATTTTTTATTTCATCTCTCTTTTTGGTTTCCTTTTGTTCATTTTCTAATCATTTGTATAAGCCTAAATTTAATGAGTTTTGGATCTGTATGACACTGATAGTAATAAATATTATAATTTTTATAAACTAGGAGATATAATATCATCAAGAAATTTTATGTTTCGTAGGAGATATAATGCTCAACATTCATGTTATTTTATTTGTATCGGCATAGAACTTTAGGAATTCCTTGAATTATGGTATTTAAAAGTTATAAATTAAAAAAAATCAACTACTTTATAAGAATAAAAATGAATAATTTTTTTTTCCTAAATTGCACTAATATGATTGAATCCAACGAAAGTATCCGACATAATATGTGTTTGAAGTATTGACAGTTACTACTATGAATGTTGAGTGAGACATATTCTAAAAGGTACGTTTCCCATGAGTCCATGAGAGTGGCTTAATTTATAAGTAGAGGAGCATGTTGCTTGATTCACCTGCAAAACTCGTACTCTAAATGTAATGTTATTTTTCCATGGTTGAATTATTCGTACCATAGTTTTGAATTTAACTCTTTAAATGGAAAAAGGTAAACTATTTATTATTGATTTGAAGTTATTAAATTTATAAAGTATTTACAATTTAAATTAAAGACAAGTAGTACTTCATTTTCTTATTTTACACGTATTGTTACTGTAGAAGTGTTGAATTCAATAACTTTTCTCAACACATTTTTTTTTCTGTTAACTGTGTCACATTAATCATTTCATTATACACTCTTCCCGTTTTTATTCATATTTCTCTCATAAAAAAAAAGCAAAAAATTGTACAAATTATTTTTGTTCATAGTGTATATAATTATTTTATTTATTTATTTTAATCTTTTCTATATTCATTCATCTAAAAATTACATTTTAAAATTAAAGGGACAATATTTTGTTCTATAGAGGTTGTTCTTTTAAAAGGGGTTAATGATAATACCTAGTAGAAAAGTAAAGGAATATTTTTGTTAAATTATTTTAACAATTTAATAAATGACCCATATAGCTTATGACTTGATTCTATTTAAATACTTTAATGTGATTGTTAATAGAGTCTGTGAGTTATAATTGTAAAATCAAATAATTTTTTTTATCTCATTTCTTGAATACAATAAAATACTAACAAATTTTAAGAGATCAAGATCTTGAGGAGAAAAACAGAGCTCTAAGAGAGATAGAGATCAAGATATGAAAGAAATATACCATGGTTATGAATAGATGTAAGTCCTCTCAATGTCATAATTGAGTATTATTATCTGTAATAGAGAATCTTAAGAAGCGAATTACAAAACTAACAATTTTTTTAAGGCCGATTGCATATTTTCTTTTCCCACAAACATAAAGTTGAATATTCTTAATGATCTTGAAGTGATAGAAAGATCAAATTGCAAGATGAATCATGATTCATGAGGGCAAATCAGATACAAATAAAAGCTCAAAGCAGAATCCTCCATGACCATGGTGAGGAGTGTCATGCTGATCTTGATAATATATCTTTAACTAGATTGACAAGTGTTAATTTGAATCAAATTCTAGTTTCTGTTGTCCATTAATTATCATCCTTGTCTAACAAAGTACATGCTTGGATACATACATAATGGATGATGGGTAACCTTAAAGCTTTTGAGCATTGAATTCCATGTGCCCATTTCACACGTTCGTTCTATCTTCCATATTCCACTGTGGAAAAGTATTTTGCACGTCCTTAGACCTAGTCCTCCGATGTTACTTATACTTTGAGCAGGGAAAGGGGGCATGCAGATTCAACAACGTTTTTGTTTTCCAAAATTTGAAAGGAAACTCCAAACTGAAGAAAAAATTGCCAGTGTCATAAATACAAAGTTTTGGGTCCATGAGCATTGTTATTGTGTTCAACAAACCATTCAAATTTGTTATGTACCATAGAAAACTTCATTAGCAATTTACTAGTTGGTGGCGCTTATACTTGTTTCCACCTCATATGTCGCATTCCATTTGAACATTTCACACGTTCATTCTATCATCAACCAACAATTTGATAATTTCTTAGTTACCCTTTTGGTTCTTATATTTTTAACTTATGAGTCATTTTAATCTTTTTAGTTTTGATTGCTCACATTTAGTTTCTCTACTTTTTTTTTTAATTGTTCAAATTAAGTGTCTGATCTCAAATTTTTATCTAATAATTAATAAAATATAATAAATATATGATGTATTGTTAATTTATATAAATTTGTAAAGAAAAAATTTATAAAATAAATGAAAATAAAAAGACTTTCATCATATTTTATTTAGTATTTTTATTCAAAAATTTGATTTATTTTTTCTTTACTAATTTATACAAATCAATAATATATCACACTTCTAGTATATCTATGTTAATTATTAAATGGAATTTGGGGATAAGAAACTTAATCTAAATAATTAAAAAACTAAAGAGATTAAGGGTGAGAAACTAAAACTAAAAGGACTAAAATTATACACACATTAAAACATAGGGAAAAAAATTAAATTGAGTTAATATTTCATTAAAATATTATTGACATTATATTTAATGTGTTTGATTTGATACAATGTAGAATTGGCCTACACCTTGACCGTGACAACAAAATGTGATGTTTATAGCTTTGGAGTGGTGGTTTTGGAAACAATGATGGGTAAACATCCAGCTGAATTGATTGCTTCTTTATCAGAACCATATATTCAAAACAAGAAGCTGAAAGATATATTGGACTCACGTATTCGACTACCCTTTTTTCGAAAAGATATGCAAGAAAATTGTGCTTGCTGTAGCATTAGCATTAGCATGTCTATGCCCCCACCCAAAATCAAGACCTTCAACGCAGGAAATAGCTAATGAGCTTTTAGTTTCCAAGCCTCCATTGCTTTGGCATTTTGATGGAATTTCAATCCACCCAACTGATGAATCCAAAAAAGTATCTATTTGTTTAAAGTTAGGATTGTGATGATCTTTTATAATGTGATTGTATTTGTGACATATGAATGCCATCTTTTCCTTTAGTTTTCAACTTAAGAAAACATTTCTTTCCTTTAAAAAAGTTAATTTAGGAGTTCAAATTTCAAACCCTGTTTTTAGTTTTTAACAAAGAACAGAGCCTTCTTACCGTATTATTGCTTTTACACAGTGCTTGTAATTTAAAAAAAAAAGATGTATCATTTTTAAGGCAAAGTTAAGTTTTAGGTTTCTAAAATTTTTTATATTTTTTATTTCATCCTTTATTATTTTTTTGAAAATGAGTCTAATAGTTCTTCTATGGTCTGTTACTTCTTATTTAGTTCATTTCAATATTATGGAAATTTTACATTGGTCATTATGAATATCACAAATTTTCAATTTGTTTTTCATAAAAAAAATTCATAACATTTGTATGAAAAAAAAATTATTTTGTGAATTTTTTTTTTATAAGAGACTCATTTAAAAATATTTAAAATGAGAGATTAATTGAAAATTTATAATATTTTTAAAGACTAAAAACTTAGTTAAGCTCATTTCTAATTAAAGACTTCTTTAGCAAAGTTGTGACAATTACAAAAGTACTATTTTAATAATTTGTGTAATGCACATGAAATTTATTTTGTAATAAATATATATAATTTAATAAAAATTTATTTTTAAATAATTAAATATCTTTAATAAAATTATTGTAAACAATAATTTTTTTAGAATTATTTTGACTAAACTTTATAATTATAAATAATATGTATTAAAATAATAAAAATTAAATAAAATTAAATAATTTTAAAATATAATTTATTATATAGTGTAATTTTTTTAATTAAATTTCAAAATCAATACTCAAATAAGCTCTAAATTTGAAACAGAAAATATTAAAATAATTTTATAAAAATAAGTATTTATGAAATATATAAAATTTAGATAAAGTAATAAGAGAAAGTTAAGTAATAATTTTAATTTTCAAAATTTAAAACAGAATTAATAAAGATGTGCGTAAAAAAATTATTACATAAAAAAAATAATTTACACATAATATTTAGTTAATTTTAATCTTAAAATATATATGTGGTGAATTGTAAAAGTGAATAGTTTTACTAATATTTATTTCTTTAATTGTTTACTCACATTTATAATACAAAGATTGACTATAAAAATAAATAAATAAAAAATATTTTTTCTTAAAAGCTTCGATGAGTAAGTAATGAAAAAGATTTTTAATAAAAATAATCGTAAAATTACTATTTCTTTTTCAAAACATATTTAAAATAAATAATCTTTCCGCTTTAATTGTATTTGAATTTTTATTTTTTTCAATAAATGAAAATATTTTAGCTTGCATTGTTGTAATTTTCTTTTGGCAACAAAGCTATATATGTACACAAGAATTTTAGTATTTTATTTTGTGTTGCATATTACACGAATGAAGTATGTATAAAAAAAATAAATAAAAATAGAACCGCAAGTTTTTAATGAACACTTTTTTTTTTAAATTACAAAATAACAAAAAACATTTTTGTATTAGATAGGGAACTACTCAGTCTTATATATAGAGAAAGGAAACTGAGTCTCTATTCGACCTAATTTAGCCGAATACCCTTTGTCAGGATTAAAAGGTAATTAATCTAATTAAGAGTAATAATTATAATATTATCTACTTTAAATAAAAGGCCAAAATCAAGGCTAACTCAGCAGGTCCATTAGCCCATAACAATGCCTGTAAAAGGAAGGTAGGAAGTACAGATAAATGGTTGACTTTTTATTATTAAATAGCATTTATTACTCAGAACCGAATCCTAACTTCAGCATCGGAGTACCTTTTGCCCTCTCCACGTCCTCAGATCAGGACATGCCGTGATAGACCTTCTTGACTAGAAATCTCGCGCATTCTTGCAGGCACACCTTTGCCAAACCGCTTGCGGCGGACGTGCACCACTTTGGACCTTGGGACTTTCTCGAACTATTGGGCCTGACACCCCCACATCCTGTTCCGAAAGGGGCAACTTAGGGATTAATCACATTATCTCACTCTTTTTCTTTTGACAATTCAGCTTTCGAAAAGAGAGAGACCGCTATCCTTCCCTGAGTGAGGGAACTAGGGCAAGCCGAGGTTGAAGACACCAAGTCTTTTTTTACTTTTTTCGTAATAGCGACAGTAAAAAAAACGTCATCGTTTCAGAGCAGAAACTTGAAGACTAGTGTTTCTTTAACATGAATAATTTTAAATAAATATCTTTAGTTCTTCCTGATTCGATTTCGTTCTATTTGATTCGGAATAAATTTCTTCTGCAAAATTCTAAACACTCTATTATTAACTTAATAACATAGAAATTTTTTAAAAAAATTAAAAAAGACAATAAAAAAATTCTTAAAATTTGAAAAAAAGAAAATTGAAGTAAAAAAAATGAAATTTAAAAGCAAATTATTACCTTCCACCTAATTTAAATAATCTAAATAATAAAATTTGGAAAATGTTTTTAGATTATATTTTTACTATTCGTATTACCTTTAAAAATTAACTTATGCAAATGAGAAAAAAGCGTAGTACAGACAGAAAAAAGTTAAAATTGAATAAAATTAACGTGAATGCATTTGCGATCCATAACCTTTTTGTTACTGGCTAAGCTGCTGGTTCAGTCCATCGTCACAGCCAATTTCTAACTCCAAATCTCAAATCCGGACTTCGTCAACACCACAATCCCTGCTCTTCAACGCGATTCCGTGTTCAATTTTCCTTACATCTGGTCAAACTTCTTGCTCGATTCGGAAAATTACCAAAGAATTTGTTCGGACCAACTCCAAAATCTTTTAATTCTTCGAGCGTTTGAGCACATTCTTCGGTTTTTTGTGCGAAGACGATGATGGCTGAGGATCTCGGTGTTGAAGCAAAGGAGGCAGCGGTTCGCGAGGTCGCGAAACTGTTGCCTCTTCCGGAGCTTCTTCAATCAATTTCATCCATCAAGGCAGATTACATTTCACGCCAACAGGTTTCAGTTCAATTCGATTTGGTTCATTTTTTTTTCTAATTTTTAATTTTATTTGTTGTTGCTGTGCGTGTTTGAATTTGTTGTTAAATGGAGTGTGATTTTCAAGCTCCGGTTTAAGCTATTTGGAACTCCTTGTTTTTAATTTTTTAATTTTTTGTTCAGTTGGCTTTGATTTGATTGAGATAGGTGTGGTTTTAACTGTTTAGGATGTGACAGTTGAGATATTTGCTTGGAAGAGGAGTTATGGGTTTTACTTTTACGTATAGTTTGAATATTTGGACGCTGCTGTTGTCGATGATTGTCAAAAGATTGATCACTTTGTATTTTAAGCGAGGGTGGTATGCAATTGTATTTTAGAGTAGGGAACATATTTTATTATTGATGGGTATGCCTGTCTTTGGGGTACTACTACCATCCCCACATGCAAGAACATAGTAATTGGATTTGGGAGAAGGCACTGGTAAGACTTGAGATATTGAATTTGTTTCCATCTTTTAAGTGAAGAAAGGTGTATCTTCAGAAAAGGTGACATCAGCAAAATTCAGAAAATATTTTGTAAGGATAGTAGCAGTTGTAACCTCTTTTGTAGAATAGGCAAGGAATACACATTTGATGTCGCGAGCAGATAATTTATCTTTACCTGGAGATAGATCATGCACAAAATAAGTAGAACCAAATAAATCGGGAGGAACTTTACCAAGAGATTCTTTAGGAAACAAAAGAGAATGAAGAACTTGGTTATTTAAAATAGAAGACAGAATACAATTTATTAAGTAGCCTTCTGTAAGAATAACATTTACCCTAAACTTAAATGGTGCATTATCATGTAATATCAAAGTATGGGCTGTGTCAAGTAGGTGATAACATTTTCTTATTGCAATGTCATTTTGCTATGACGAGTGATGACAACTAGAAAACTAGATTGATGAATCATAATTCATACTGTGTGATGACATGACAGAATTAAAGGGAGCAGGAAAATACTCTTTTGCATTGTCAATCAATATGTAAAATGCAGTTAGTGCACTCAAATTGAGTATGAATTTCAAAAGAAAAATGTTAAAAAATACCAAATAATTCAAAACAATCTTTCATAAAAAATATCCAAGCATCTTGATTAATCATGAGTGAAAGGAACCCAATCTCTAATTACTGTTATTTCAAACAACTATTATTTCTAACAGCTTCATTACATGAAATGCACATAAAAATGTTCTAGGTCCAGTTCCACCACTAAAGAAGGAGAAAGTTGGAAAAATGCTTTTCAAATGTTTTTGGATTCCCGTCCTTGGCTTTTAAGGATGAAGGCATGTGTGGAGGAGGTGACATGACATGGAAGATAATACCTCTATCCTCAATGGTCATTGCATAATCTTACATAACATAAAACAAAATGGAAAAAGAAATGCTATCAAAACATCAAATTGAAAATTTTGTCATTTTTTTCATTTTTCAGTAACGATAATTTTGAGTGAAAATCCTAGAAACAACTTTTCTGCTTGTGGGGTTAAGGCTTGGTACATCTTCCCTCCATGGACTCCCAACCTATCTAATTGGAGCTATCAAAATGGAGCTAACCCAACCTCTCTCTCCTTTAGAGTAAGTCAGAAAATCCTAACTCAACTCACCAACCCAGTGGATTAGTTCATGGGTTGACTCACCAAATTTAAAAATAATAAAAATTATAAAAATAGGAGCACAAACATTAAAATAGAGATTAAAAAAAGAATAACATGGGCTGGTTTAGCTCATGGGTTAACTTTTTTACAACCCAGCTTACCCAAAATCCACCACGGGCTGGGTTAGCTCATGGTTTACAATCTACTTTGACGGTTCTATTATTATTATTGTTGTTATTGTTGTTGTTATTATTATTATGTTTATATATTTTTGGTTTTCATTAAATATTTATGTAATTTTGTTATTTGACCAGCGACACATCAATTGATTTAGTGGGGCAATTATTTGGATTCAGTATCTCACTCAAGTTAATTACCATTTTGAGTTTCAAAGCAGTGCCCCATATATAGCCTATTGCCTATGTGTACTATGTAATTACATTAATGTTGAGTGTCTGTAATGAGATTTACAATCATTAAAAAGGGTTTGGTGTGTCGCTTTTCATCATTCATTAATGTTGCAGCTATTTTATTCAAAATTGGGAGCTACCAATTCTGAGTATTTATATTTTGCTTTGTTTTTCAGGCCAATGATGCACAGCTTAGTACAATGGTAGCAGAGCAGGTATTCTTTTAATTGATGAAATACCAGCTGGTTAGATGCAGGTTATTGAAAAAGTTTAACCTTTTAGTAGTTGCACTTTTTCCTCAAATACAATGTCATGCATTATCTGCATATTGCATGTTTCAATTAGCTTCTGAAAAAAATCATAACAAAGCAGTGTCATTTGATCCATGTAACCAACTTCACTTGGTGGGAAAATGCTTTTGTTTCCAAATTGGTCAAGAGAGCTTTAAAATGAAAAGATTTTTATAATTACAAAATATGCTAATGAAAATGTGTGATGAGAAAGTTGCTACAATTTTAGCTTGTTTTTGTTAACTTCAAAACTTATGGGAGCTGTTAGCAGCTAACTATACACTAAAGGAAGAAAAATAAAAAAATTGTTTATAGAGAAATTAAAATTATGGGCAGATCTTTTGCTCCTTATCTTTTGATTAAGGAGTGTGTAAATAATTAATGAACTCAGAAATAGGTGTATAGAAAAGGGCTGTTTTGTCCACCACTATATGGAAGCAAAAGACTATTGTGAGTCTAACCTCTAAATAACCACGTGACTGACAATTTTAAGTGGTTACTTAAGGGCATGTAAATGCACTTTATCGTTCTATTATTATCCCTTTCCCCTTGTCAAACCCCAATAAATGTAGACAATTTGCAGTCTTATTACTAGCTTACGCTAAAACTGAAGGGTGCTTAGGGTATTTTATACTAAAAATATCTCGGGATGTGGACAACTGGGATTTAATTCAGACCACAAAAGATGGCCTAGTTTATAGATTGTGACATCACTGTGTTATTATGTCTAGCCCATTAAACATGCAATGCCTTGTACAAGCTGTAGCTCTTGATATTGAAGTGAATGAACTGAGGCACCACAATCGCACATCTTCATGTGCTTTGCGAAAATCACTCTACTGCAGGTTGAGCAGTCACAGGCAGGACTCAAATCACTCTCCTTCTCTGAGAAGACGATAGATCAGCTTCGTGAAAACTTTGTCTCCATTGAGAAGTATGTTATAAGTGTGATAGACAAACTGTTATCACTTCTTAGATGGTGGTTGTTTTCTCTTGCATAAACTTGTACCCTCGATATTTTTCACTTTGAGCTTACTGTGATTTTCCTGGTGCATCAGGTTATGTCAGGAGTGCCAAACATTAATCGACAACCATGACCAGATAAAGCTACTTAGCAATGCGAGAAATAACTTAAACACAACCTTGAAGGTGCTTTTCTGTCCTTATTATGCCTATAATTCTTGATTAAAAGAGTACTTGTTTAGGATTCTAATAAGAATGTTGGGAGAACCACACCACAAAAGCTAGCCATTGTAGTTGGAGAGCAGAAGACCTTATAAACCTCACATTAGAATCCCATGCTTTCAATTTGGGACTCAAGTCTCATACCTTGCAATCCTAATAGATTCATTCTATTGCGTCACAGAAAGAATTGTTATTTAGAGCTTCCTCTTCCCTATTTTCTTCAGTAATATTCAGCTTTTTATTTACAAATCTTACAAAATGGGTCTCTCTCACTTTATATCCTGCTTAATCATCATTGAAGTAAAAGATGCAGTTATTAGTGTATTCCCTATGAACTAAAGTGCTGCTTTCACCATATCAAACACTCATAATTTAGTTGATTTTTCGTTGTTATAATGTAAATGATACAACCTGCAGATTGCCAGCCATTGTACTGGTTTTGAGTTAACATGGTTGAATCCAAGTTGTACTTATTTATATGTGCACAATCTGTCTTACTTTATGGTTTTGGCTGATTTCTCAGTCTTTTGATAGGATGTTGAAGGTATGATGTCTATTTCTGTTGAGGCAGCAGAGGCTCGGGATTCTTTGAGTGATGACAAAGAAATTGTCAACACTTATGAGGTAAGCTGATCGTACTTGTAGTGCAAAATTTTGGTCTTATGCAAAAAATGTATTAATGCTTGTCAAAATGTCAATAGCATTTGAAACCTTGTTTTCCATTTGATCTCTATAACTTACCCATCTTTTACAGAGGTTAACAGCTTTGGATGGAAAGCGAAGGTTTGCATTAGCAGCTGCAGCATCTCACAAGGAAGAGGTTGGAAGACTAAGGTCTGTGTCTTCTTAAGTATACTTTCACTTTCATGGGCTGTGTGAGCAAGAATCCTGGAAGTGGCTGCCACAGATTTTGGAATGAATTTTGATCTGCATAAGCCCCCATCTTTTAATTTTGCAATGATCCACTAGTAGTCTTAATCAGTGGTATATACATTTAAATTATCCTTTTGGGCATTTCAATCTTAAAAGTGATCCTTTTAGATCAATCGTCTGATATTTGACTATTCTTATTAGGTTGTTGTTAGTGGCTATTATGAATCTTTGAATTCACAGTGCAGGAACATTGATTTCAAAGAAGTAAAAATATTTTGTTCGATAGACAAGACGGAATCAAGTGAATCAATCATCACTGAATGGGTTTCGGTCAACTTTTTTGAATAAAAAAATAAAGGGGTTGTGTCTATTGCGCCCCATGGGTGGTTTCAAAGCATGAAATATACCTGTTAAGAAACTTAGGCCTAACTCACTTCCAAAAGTTAGCTCATAGGATAAGGATTACCCTAGTCTTTATAAGGAGTATTCTGGTTCTATTCCTAGCTAATGTATGACATCTTAACAACGCCTATTAAATGCTTAAAATTACTTAAAAGCATTGTTTTATGTTTTCAGTATAATAATAACTTCTTTTCTAATAAAAATTTCATATTTTTGACATCTTGTCATGTGTCCATGGAGACAAATACCCACGAATAAATAATAGGAGTTTTAATTGTGCTTTGTTACATGCATAGCGCAAAACCCTGGATCATAATTCCTTTCTGGTTCTGCTGATGTGGAATGAGTTATTGGTACCGTCAATTGATGGTATTGGAGGTATTTGAGAAATCTGTTGGTTTGGTGGCATGCATTTGGTTGCATGAAGAAGTTTTTAAAGACTACTGTACAGCCTGAAAGTTCTAGATATTCTAGGGAGGAAAAAAGGAATTTGAGAATATTATCTCTTGTCACATCTTTTGGTACCTTTTGCATTATGTTTGTCCATGTTTTACATTTTCAAGTCCAGATAGAGGTATGGCGCTTTGAAACTACTTAATCAATAGATGTTAAATCCAAGAAAAGCTCCTCTACACTATAAAATATAATGTGCTAAAATGAACTAACAAGAGATTTTTATGATATTATGATTAACTATTTGGTTTTGTCATTTATTCTATAGTTTCAAGGCTAAGTATCTATTTTTCCTCTTATTGTATTTGTCTCAGAGAATATTTTGAAGACGTAGATCGAACCTGGGAAACCTTTGAGAAGACACTATGGGGCCACGTTTCCAATTTTTATAAACTTTCTAAAGAAAGGTTTGTGCCATGTTTTGAACATAAACATCTCAATTCTCAAATAACATTGCATATTGTTGCTATGAAACTGCTTCTCTTTGCTCCTATCAATTGAGTGCTACTTGAGATTTGAAATTGAAAGTGATAAATTTTCTATTGATTTTAGGGTTTACAAATTTGAGTCATTTGTTTGTTTAATTACTTATTTAGCTTCATAGGGTTTTTCAGTCTTGAGTATTACACCTTGTCTAAAATTTAAAATCATGAAAGTGTCAGATTTTGCTTTAATATATTAAAATTAAAATGTAATTTTTATTATTAAACAAAAATATCACCTTTTGATTGTACATAGAATGCTGGGGTAAGACCCACCCTAGTTGTTTAGTATAATCTTTGGCAAAGATGGATGTTGGAGGAGGGATTTGTATGTTCTTGGTAAGAAATTCAAAATAAAAGATGAAAATCTAGTGCCCACAATATATATTCTATTCCTTTAGCAATTTTGAATACTTTGTAGAGTTAAATATGAAGCTGTATGCTTTAATTGTGGAATAATCTGCAACTCTCTCTTCAATTGTTTTTTCTTTTTCATTGCAGCCCACAGACTTTGGTTCGAGCTTTACGGTATGTTTTTGGTTGACAATTTCATTTTCTTTCTCTTTTTTGTGTCAGTATAGGTTGAATGATCGGAAGTTCTAATATGCTTTAGGGAACTTTACACTTTTTAAAAATAAGGTAATCTTATTTTCCCTTTGTTTTCCTATTGTAGGGTTGTTGAAATGCAAGAGATCCTAGATCAGCAGATTGCAGAAGAAGCAGCTGAGGCTGAAGGGGATGGTGCGATGGCATCAGTTGCAAATCCTCGTAGGAGTGGCGTGTATGTTATAATATTTTGAATTGATTTCCATTATCTTAGATGAGTTGTGATCTTGAAAATCTATAATAACGGAAGCAGCAACCCTCTGCAATCTTGATAATTGATATATGATTTACTAGATAGTTTCACTAAGTTTGCTCTACATATTGCTTTTAGGAGGTTCCTGAACAATTTAGGAATCCATTTAATTTCTCATATTTCTTGTCTTGATAATTGATATATGATTTACTAGATAGCTTCACTAAGTTTGCTCTATATATTGCTTTTAGGAAACCCTTTGAACAGTTTAGGAATCCATTCAATTTCTCATATTTCTAGTCGTTTCTTCTAAGAGGATTTTTTATCCTCTATTTGCGTACATCTTTCTTTCCTTATTTCAATAAATTACTTTTCATGTGACCCCCCACCCCCTGCCCCAAAAAAGGAAGAGATCCATGGAAAGAACATGACTAATTACGTTAGAAGGCTCATTACTTTGATTAGGATAATAAAAATAATTTAATCTATTTTCTTGGAACTTCTCTAAAAAGATATTTTTATTTGTTTTTCTTGATTCCTTTTTTATATTCAATATGCATATTCTTTGATATATTTTTCTTTGTTGGAATGAAATGATTAATTAACTGCTATACCCTTCTATTCTATTCTGCTTTTTCTTGATTTAAAGCTTTGAAGCCTGGATACAAACATGGGATATGACAAATTCTAAGAGTTCTACAACACAATTCAGTTAATATACATCATATATATATATGTTTTTGATAAAATATAATTATATTAAATTAATATAACAATTAAACTAATATGAATTATTGTAGACACTATAGAAAGCTATTATTTATTAAATCATTTGTGGGCAGTATCCTACTTTTATTGGTAGAAAAATTTATAAAATATTGGAAAGATGTGGGTTAGAAGTATCCAAAGGTATCTGAGAAATATCTGATTAGGTACATGACCAGCTCTGGTTGGACAATCATTTTGAATTATTGGTGCTTCCTAGATTTTGATTTGAGTCTGCATTCTGCATCTAATTCATGAGAAATATTAATTCATGACAATAATTTTGATGATCGTGTTTATTAAATTTTACATTTTTCTAACATGACCTTCTTTCTACTGTGTTGGCTACCTTGCAATCAACCATGATACTATGGTGGATGCTCGGCTACTGCCTCGTTATGCCATTGACAGATTTGCTGCTAACTTGCTAAATAAATAGTATGATCCATGAGTTACTCAGAAGAAAAATAACAAAATTTTGAGTAAAAACTTAAACTTCATGGTTTAATATGGCTCGTTTCAGTTTAGTATTTTCACTGTTTCGCTTTCATTCCCATGGAATAAGAAATTGTCTTATTTTTGTTATGTTTGCTTCTTTTATCATGAGACTTTTGCTCAGATTTTTATTGTAGATATTTCCCAACATTATCATATCTTCTTTTGCCCAGTCTGATATAGGAGTAAAAATAGGGTGAAAGATTCATGAATCAGTTTCCAATCCAATTTTACTAATAAAGTGATCCTTATTTTGTAAACCCCATAACAAGCTGATCTGTACAGAGAAATCTTCCTCTCATCACTTAAAATTCTGTTGATGCTAATGAATTACAGAAAATCTACAAGTACAATGGGTTCTTCGAAAAATTTAACACAGCAAAAATTGAAGGTTCAGGGGAAAGGCTATAAGGATAAATGCTATGAACAAATAAGGAAGACTGTAGAAGGACGCTTTAGCAAGCTACTCAATGAGGTTAATTGATCTTACTGCTTTACATCACTACATTCTCCCTCTCCTGCTACGAAATATACAGACACCCATATGCTTATACACACACCTGTGGTACTCATGAGAACATGCTATCCTTCGTGCAACTCACTGCAACTTATTTTATGAATCAGCTTGTGTTTGAGGACCTGAAAGCCGCTTTAGAGGAAGCAAGAGCGGTATGTTAGACTGAATTTTAAGCTCCTGACTTTTACTTTCAATTTTCCTCACAAGGACTAGATAATCATTTTACTTTTGTTCTCCTTTCTCATCCTGCACCAGTTCATTGCTGTTTTTCCACTAAGGTCATTAGAAATCCCTGGGTCAACTAAACACACGCCTGCTTGAGGAGTGTTAGAATATCTTCAATGTTTATGGTAGCAGATCATATATATATGGTAGATTCAGTTAGGATCAATCGAGTGTAATTTAGAATCTTGTCACACTTATTATGTTCATACTAACAAGTATCCCATCCATTGCATTGGATTTTTTAATGTATGTAAAATTTGAAATTATAAAATAAAAGAAACATTATAAATTATAAGATAAACATGCATAATTAATTCAAATTCAATTTAATAAGTAGAAAAATAAAGTAGCAAGGGGAACAAAAATTTTAAAATATTAAAAAGAATTAATTTGAGAGTATACATATTGATATTTGAGACAAAAAATAAATTTTAATGTGAAAAAAGAAAAATTTAAAACAATTAAAGCTAAGGTTTGAAGGCCGGGGTGGGGAGGGGGAAGTAAATCTTAATGTAAAAGGAAAAATTGAAAGCAATAATTTTAAAATTTTTAATAAGTACCAAAAATGATGAATCCACAAATCATAAGGAGAAAGAAAGGTTAATAGGAGAGAGATGTCCTTTATGTTGAAGAATATGTGGACTGAGATTTATAATATAAGAATTGAAAAGTTAATTTGTAGAAGTTGACTTGACATGTTACTGTGTATAAAATTATATTCTATACTTTTAGTGTCGCTGACTTGATATAATACATAAATTTTCTATGTCACCCTCTCCTCCCCTTTCCATTGTTGATTAATTGAAATACTGAAGTAAATTATACCAACTGGGTAATGCTACGAAGTCATTTCATAATTATTCTGATGATCTCATATTTAATTACAGTGTAGTTTCTGTAATTTATTCAAAATATCATACATTTCCAGCTTCCTGTACTTGAGATTCAGTTTTATTCCCAATTACTGATGGAACGTTGTACCTTTTGTGGCATATAGATTGGGGAGGAACTTGGAGATGTCTATGACTATGTAGCCCCTTGCTTTCCTCCAAGGTTTGCTCTGTGTCAAATATACTGTTCAATCTTCACTGCTTTTGGACATGCTTTCTGCTAATGAATAATCTCATTATAAGATTTGGTGTACTTCATGCTATACTATCTCTTTGTTTAGGTATCATATGGTATGTGCTTTATATAGAATAGTTTTCTTTTATATGATCAAAGGTTCTTTATATTTTTTAAATTAATTTTTTTGTTGAAATACAAGAGAATTTTAAAGAGAGATGAAAGAAAGGGAAAATGGAAAAGATGTGCGACATGGAGAACATAATGTTTTAGTAGTGAGTCAGAATGGTAAGTGATGAGCTTACCTCTATACTAGGACTGTAATTTGAATTTTTGTACCTTTCCTATTGGATGCATGCAGTCATGCACTACTAGTAACGATTTAGTTAAGGCTAAAGCCCCACTTTCCTTATTCCTGTACTAAATCCTAACACTGTTTCTCTAATTGGAGGCTAAGTTTTCCGGTTGTAGCAAAAACAAGATCCAAATTAAATAAAACAAAGAACTAAAAAGAAAAATCAATTCATCAATCAAAGAACTTAGCTATCACTCTCTAACAAAACCATTGGTGACAGCATCGATAGGTATCTTCTAGAGGTATTCAGCTTTTCTGTTAAACACATGTTTGGGCCTGTTGAGTAAAACTACGGATTTCACTTAATCTAAGGAAGCATTTGTTGACAGAGGGTTTCTTTATGCACATTTGCTTTGTTCTAATTCCGTTTTCTTTTCTTTCTTTTTAATTTTTTTTTCTAATTCTTGCAGGTATGAAATATTCCAATTAATGGTAAATCTGTACACTGAGAGGTTTATTCAGATGCTAAGGTTGCTTAGCGACAGGGCGAATGAACTAACAAACATTGAGATATTAAAGGTATTTTCACTGGAGTTGTTATTTATGTATAACATGTCGCATAGTTAGATTATCATATTCTTTGTAGATTAAGGTGAGCAAGCCATGCATTTTCCACCTCTGTAGCATTTTGGGAAACTAAGCTACTAGTTTTCCCATTTATCTGTTTCTGTACTACAGATCATGCTGTGATGTGTTTTTAGCACAAACACGGTCAGAAAAGTGATAAACAGGCTAGGAGTGGTGTTCTTTTTGTTGCAATTATCTCTTGTTCTTGGATATGAATTTGGATCTTAGAGACAGTTCTAGTGAGAGTAACAGCTGAAGTATCACATTCCTGAATTATGGAACCCCGGCCCCACAATCCTACTTTCTTACTATCTGTCCTACCTTGCACTCTCTCCACCTCGTTATTCTGTTAGCTTCCCTCCTTTTCCTATGTACTTTAGCTAGAGGTCCCTAACTAGTTAACTGTCACTGGCAGAAACTGACTCAGGCTCTATCATTTTTATTTAATTTTATTCACCTTACATATTAGTAAGTGGGGGTTTACTGAGAAACATATATGTATTATCTGTTGTAAGCTATGCTTTATAGATACAGGTATAGGCATCTAACGCAATATTATACTTTTTCAAAATATTTAGAGATAAAAAATAAAATAAAATTTATGTACATGGGATCGCCATTACTTGAATCCAACATGTTCTCTTTCTTTCCCATGTCCCTGTTTTCTATTTTGTCCACTTCACCACTTCCTGACTCACCTACCATCAATGTTGCCATCAGATAGCTTGTTCGGTGAGGATGAAATATTACTGTCCTGTGCAATGATTTTGAGTTGTGCAGTATTGAAAGAGTGCAAGTATGCTTCTAGTGGGCAAATTGGTCAGAACATGACTTAAATTCATATTCTGAACTTTTGTAGCAGTATCGTATGAGCTTGTATGGTGTTAATGCTTGACAAACCACAGTGCACTACAAAATATGGACACATAAATACCTAACACAACACGGACATTCTGATTCTTCTAATGTCTCAATTACAGGACATGAATACCCTGCAAATATAAAATAAGAAATATTGATAATTTAACAAAAGATCTAAATTGATAATCAATATTTCTATGATAATGAATTTCATAAAAGAATGTTAAAACTAAAGGACATCATTTTACAATGTAGGCACCTGTTTTCTTTACAAACAATCCTGAAACAAGAAGATGAAATTATATCTTTCAAGAAAGGTATATTATATTCTCAAACCAACTTGCTAAGTTTTAGATTTTTCCTATGATAATGAATCTCACAAAAGAATTTGAGGCATTGTTTTGTAATATTTTACATTGTATTTCAAGCTGACTTTTATAGATGTTTTAAAAAATGAATATTCTTTTAATAATACCAGCGTGTTCATTTCTATTGAGGTATCAGCTCAAATGTCTATGTTGTATAGAGGCGTTGGCTCAGGTGTTCAAGTTGACAAAATTCATTTTTTATATAGATACATAAAGTGAAATGTTGGACATGGGGAGTTGTTAGTGGTGGAAGTGTGTCTGTCACTATGACATTTCAAGCATAAAAGGTGCCCTAATTTGTAAGCATGCAGCCTGAGAAGTAATTTTCATGGAGATTAGGAGATAAAAAATTCAATATATCTTGTTAATTTAATAAGTAGGTTCCCGCATAATATCTTTGACAGTGAGTGTTGACTTGTATTGGGATTAGGGTGAGTATCTAATTGAAGCATGAATACCACGTCTTTTAGAAGTGTGGGACACATTTCTGACTCTGACACCTCTCATATATACTTGTTTATCACATGTTAGACACTCCTCATTAAGTGTCTAATTTAACAATTACTTTTTGTTAGCTTAGACACTTGAGTTGACACTTTAGTATGAATGGAAACGCACTAGTATGATTAAAAATATCCACTTCTATATTAAAAAAATGCTTTTTTTTTTCTTTTCATAAGGCTCATTATCATATAAAAAAAATATAAAACTTAGCATGTTGGTTTGAGCGGGTGAATATGCCTTTTTAAAATATTTCATTTGTTTTGGTATTGTGGACCAAGTGTTTATATTATAAACTAATACCTCAATATATTCTTTTGTGGGGTTTTTGTGTGTGTCCGGTGTCTTATATTTTAGACATTAGCCATGTTACTGTGTTTGTGTTCTAATCTGTGCTTCATAGGTGAGTATTGAACAGCTACTCCTTGTAAGCTTTGTTAGTCATAGTGAAACAAAGCTTAATGTGATCTTCAAGCCTATAACTAGGTGCGAATATTACGAGGAGTAGTTGCTAGGCACTCAAATCTAACAACACCCCTGAATCTTTGCTGTTATGGAGCTTGGCTACCCTGTATGGGCCTTGTCCCTGAGTTTCTAGCACAAATCTTGAAAAATTATTTTTGGCTTGCACTATATAGGCTTTTCAGGTAAGATCACAACTAAAAAGTTGGGGAAGCTCATAATTAAATACAAGTCACTTTATAACACTTTTGGGACAAAACCATGGTTTCATCATTTCATTAATACATTTATCACTGAAGTGACAAATTGTTGCTATCTGATGAGCCCTTTCTTTTTCCTATTTGATCACTTGTCTTTGGCATAATTCCTGTCAATGTAAATTTAGTCATAACCATTTTTTTTTTTCATTCTCTTAATTTTCACTTTTACCCACTGAATGTTTTATGGGAAAAGATGTACCTGTGCTTATGTTTTGTCATGGAGCAGGTAACTGGTTGGGTGGTTGAATACCAAGATAATTTGATTGGGCTTGGTGTCGACGAGTCTCTTGCCCAAGTGTGCTCTGAGAGTGGCGCAATGGATCCTCTTATGAACTCTTATGTTGAGAGAATGCAAGCTACAACTAGAGTAAGCCTAGCTATCTTGCTTATTAATTTAGCTTTGGTAATCTATGAGGTTCATTGGATGACTTCTTTTTGATACTTAAGATTAAGCTTTATTCTTAATGTTTTCTAGAAATGGTACTTGAATATTCTGGAGGCTGATAAAACACAACCCCCAAAGAAAACTGAAGACGGGAAGCTATATACTCCAGCTGCTGTTGATCTATTCAGGATACTTGGTGAGCAAGTGCAAATTGTTCGGGATAATAGCACTGATCTTATGTTATACAGAATTGCCTTGGCAACTATTCAGGTAATATGATATTAGATTTAAATGTAATGTGACTGATGCATGTTATAATTTTTTATTTTGCAAAGTAAACTCTTGGTAGATAAAGGTAAAGTGGACGGAAGATGGAAAAAGAGTTTTTTAAGTGCAACAATTTGTTAAAGTATCTTCAGTATTGTGAGGATATCACCAGAAATCCGAGTCCCTCATAGCACAATGTGTAGTTTTTATTTCTTATATCAGTAACTTTGTATCTAGGTCATGCTACTCTATCTTTTTACAGGTAATGATTGATTTTCAAGCAGCTGAAAAGAAGAGACTTGAAGAACCAGCTTCTGAAATTGGTCTGGAGCCTTTATGTGCCATGGTTAGTATAATTTTTTAAGGTATTGAATTTTTATTTCAACATAGGATTGTTTTATATTGGTACTTCAATTGACATGAGATTCAATGCAATGTTTTATGTAGATTAACAACAATTTGCGGTGCTATGATCTTGCAATGGAGCTAAGTAATAGCACCATAGAAGCCCTTCCACAGAACTATGCTGAGCAGGTTTTGAGTGAACCTTTGGTTTTTGTTGTTTTTCATAGTTTTTCTAACTTGATAACTGTTGCTTTGTCGACGTAGTCTTTTGTTATTGCATTTTCATTTGGTGAAACCCACTTAATTCTTGGTTATTAATGTTACATGCAATAATTTATTATAATTCACTGCTACCCTATGAATGGAAATTCTTGAAATCTTGTTTGGAAACATCATATATTTTTCATTCTTTGATATAATTGAAAAACATGAGAAAGAACCAACCATCAATATTTAGCAGTCAGCATCAAATCCAAATTAGAAAAAAATGCATTTATTAACATAAAATAACCTGGTATACACATATTAATAGAATCCAAAGACAGATAAGAGAACATGATATCAAAGCATTGGGTTTACAAATGCAAGATCCCCTCAATATTAGATCCTTGAATGCAATGAAGTTCTTTTTAGGGGTTTGAGAGATGAGGAGAATCAAATAAAATCAAGCAAGATTCGAATATGTACCCTATGTACATTGGCTTGCTATTAACCATTGCTCCACTTTCATTTTTGTTAACATATTGTGCTAAATGAAATATATGTAAGATTATCAGTCATATTTAAGTTACTATCCATTTAATTTTATTGATAGGATTTATGGAACTTACATATATTATTATTATAATATTATTATTAGGCTTAAATAAGTTTAGTCTAAAAAATTCGCAATTTTCTTATTTGATCCTTTATTTTTAATTTTTTTCAAACAAGTTCATTAAAGTTCCTTTTTCATTCCCATATGGTCCCTTTGTTAGTGATTTGTTAATTTTCTCTATTATTTATCTATGTGGCATTCAACTTGACTCACATAATATGATATGGAGTTAATGTGGATAATAAGGTGATATTTACACTTTCATCCCTTTGATATTCTTAAATTTCAATTTAAAAGATCCTAACCTTTATAACTTAAAATTTCATTTAGATATGAAGGTTATGATGTTGTTCACACATTTTGTTCATGTCGTGTGATGTCCCAGTTAAATTATGAGTCAATTCAGACATCATGCAAACAAATAATTGAGCAATTTAACATATCACTAAAGAAAGAACTAGATAAAAATGGAAAATGATTTTTGTGGTGCTAGACTGAAAAAAAAATTAAAAAAGATGGACTGAATGAATAAATCATGAATTTTTGGAGAGTCAAAAAGTTATATAAGATTTATTGTTGTTATTATTATTAAAGAGAAGTAATATATTTCTTTTATATTCATTTAAAATTTTAATTAATCTAGTTTCTTATTACTTACATAAATTTGTTATTTGATATAATATATAATATTAAAAACATATATATTTAATTATTACTGGTTTGACCACAGTTCAACCAAAGTTAAATCAATGAATTGTGAATTAATGTCTTTATCGATTCAATCATCTGTCCATTTTTAGAACATTGATTTAGAGAATAAAGATGAGAGAGACAAGGAAAGGCCTTTGAGATAAGGAATGGTCTCAGATGCAGGTCTTGTAAGAATTGAATTGTAATAGAATTGTTGAACAAATCTACAAGCACTAGTGGTGTAAATGAGTGAACTTTGGGTTAGCTTCCTACACATTCTCTTATTAAACGTGTGTTGTCTTGAAGGCCAAGTTCCATGATGTTGCCTCAAATGGAATTTGCCATTGTCATTTAGCTTTCAAAGCATTGATCTTGGTCCTCAAATTTCGAAGACTCAAATTCTCTTCCTTCTCAAGCCTGCAACAAACCTCCCAATTAATAAAATTATCTCCTCACTGCCTGCCCATGCCAGACCAAAGGAAGATTGTCAGAAGACAAACAGGTCAGAGTAGGAGTAATCTGACCACCTAGAGTAAGAGGCATCTTTCCAACTATTCCATGGTTGGATTGAGATCTTTCAAAGACTGCTTAACTCCAACAAGGATTAGATAAGTTGAGCAGTTGCAAATTTTTGACAATCAATCACTAATGCATATGCATCCGCATTGAAAACCAGCCAAACTGCAAGTGCAATATATAATTTGGGAGGCTGATGTTGGAAATTATGAATAATTACCTGATCTTTTTCTTGACTTTATATATTCACATTTTCTGTTTCCCTACAGGTTAATTTTGAAGATACCTGCAAGGGTTTTCTCGAGGTTGCTAAGGTATGGAAGTGTGCAAATTTTTAATTCTAATTATTTTCTGGTGGATATGTGTCAAATCTCTGTGAGTGAGTGTGTGCAACTGTTTGTTTTAATTCTGCAGAATTTCGTTTTTGTATTGCAATTGTTCAGCTCAACATGATGCATTTAATTGACATTCATCTCCTCAAACTTCTATGAGCAGATTTCTTGATGGAATTTTGTGAAATTATAACATGATTGATAAGTTTCATCACTACTAATATTTATAATTTTATGTGATCTTAAATGTTTCCATGTTGTTAAGATGTCCTATTAGCTAGGAATAGAGTCAGTATACTTCTTATAAGGGCTTGGGTAATCGTCTTCCTACGAGCTAGCTTTTGAGAATGAAATAGACCCAAGTTTTTTAACATATTATCAAACCCTATCTAGTTGAATGGTGGGATGCCAACAATGTCCAGTCTTGTTGTGTCACCCGCAAATGTTTACTCTTGCAAACTTCACACACCAAATGTCTTGTCCTGAGGGTGAGGGATGTGTGTTAAAATGTCCCATTGGTTAGAAATAGAGTTAAAATACTCCTTAGAAGAGTTTGAGTAGTCCTCTTTCTATTAGTTAACTTTTGGGAGTAAGTTAGGCCCAAGTTTCTTAACACATGATAAATATCTAGAGATTACATGGTTATGGATGAAAACCAGTTATGCCACATTTTCTGTTAAATGTGAAATCCAAATTAATTTCAATCAAACTATGGGATTTCCTGAGAATCTTATTTTAATTCTTCAAACCAAAGCTAAATCTTATTTTAAGCCCACAAATGGAGAAGCTGGTTTCAGGATTTGAACCATGACCTCCCAGTGACAAGGTTGTATTATTATCATAGCACCAAGGCTCACCTTCAACATGTTTGTCTTGCTGAAAACCCATTAAAACGGTCATGTACTTCACACCTATTGCAATTAGACACCAAAAGCCTGATCTTGATGCCAAATCAAGAGATGTGCTGAAGAAAAATTCTTAAAAATAGCTAGTCTAATCTCCAACCAAATGCACCTAATTGTAGCATACACTACAATGCCTCATATATATGCTGAACTGTAGATAGACAATGTATTGTTTGATTAACTTAATTTGTTCACCAAAAGAAATTTAAAATTAATATTTCCTAGCACTCAACTCCATTTAATGGTAACTCGTACCTTCCAAATAGACTCATTATTGCTATCCCTTGTTTGGTTTATCCATTGAAGCTAATTGTCATACATTAACAACCTTTGACAAGCTCGTTCATTAACAAACAAATTTTCTATTCTTCCATTATATTTTATTCTTGGTGAACCTTTTATTTTTCCTGACACTGTTGTTGATTTGGTTGTCAAATATGAGCACCGTATTGGTTTTATATCCTATATGAACATGGTCCATAGATTCACACTGCAAAACGGAAAATAAAAATTGGATCCATAATATAAATACTTTGAAGATCTTTTATGCTGGAACTTATTAAAATACCTGCTTGTTATGTTCATGTCAATTCATTCACACATTGTGATCACTGTTTTGATGAATATGTTGCTTTGAAGAGATTGACTTCTGACAATTTGAATTTTCTGTTATAGGAAGCTGTACATCAAACTGTTAGTGTGATATTTGAAGATCCTGGTGTCCAAGAGTTGCTGGTCAAACTGTACCAGAAAGGTAAAATAATTTTCAATGTCACCAAGCTGGGTCTTTGTGGGTTTATGCTAATAGTTTATTCTAGGGCTTTTTTGGTCAGATTTGCAGATGGCTGGGGGAGTCTCTCTGTTTGCTGGATTCCTATTTTTTAACTCTACTTTTCTGTAATAATTTCTCCTACTTAAATAGGAAAAGCACTATCTTGAGCTAATTGGCTACAGACTGTTAAGTGTTTATAGCTTGTGATAGCTTTTGGTTTACATTTCTAGTGCTGGATACTTTCTGCTTAGTAATTGGGTATTTAGATAATTTGTGCTATTATATCCAAAATTATCCTGTACGATTGCTAGGTTCCATGTATTAACAATAAGTAAATTTATTATGTTGTGTTTAATATCCAATCAATCTCATGAATTTATACCTTATTTGATGTTTTTATGTGATAATTGAGTTTTCTTTTGCTTTGCATTTGTCAGAATGGAGTGAAGGGCAAGTTACTGAGTACTTGGTTGCAACATTTGGTGATTATTTTGGTGATGTAAAAATGTGAGTAAATACTTTTCTTACCTCAGTAACTTGGTATTTTTTTATTATTCCATACGTGCTGAAATTTCATAACAAATTTGGGTATACATATTCTATATAGGATTCATTTCAATGATTCTATATATTTACTATATAGCAAGTGCATCAGTAGGCTAATATCACATTCGTGGGGCAGATTATTATTATTTTTTTTTCAGTTAAGGGTGGTTCAATATTAGATCTACCATGTTGAATTTGGGCTTTAAGCCTAACTCAATCTTAAAAGCTAATTTGTAAGGAGATAATTGCTTTAGATTTTATAATCTCTTATTTAGCCATACTTATAGTCGATGTGGGACTTTAACAATCTGAATATTTGGCCATTGGGGCCTTGATACCTTGTCAATGACCAACTCTCTTGAAATCTTAAACTGTTAAAGTGAAAGCTCATGGTTTTATATCTAACTGAGTAATAGAATGTTTCAAATGAATGAGAGATGTCCATGAATACCTGGATGACACTTCAATGAATTGTTTGAACTGGACTGTATTACTCCCACGACCCATCTGGTGGATCTGTGTGCTTTTCTATAATGCTTGAGACTTTATTTTCTTATTCTCTCTTCTCTTTTACACTTTTTTCCATAAAATTTGGGAGTTGCTGTGGAAGGATTCTATTGCTTTTAGATATTTGGTTGTTAAATATTTAGTTTGTTGAGGAAAACTAATAGTTTCAACTTTCCATTTTCTAGGTACATTGAAGAAAGATCTTTTAGGAGATTCGTTGAAGCCTGCTTGGAAGAAACAGTAGTTGTTTATGTTGATCATCTTTTAACACAGGTTCTAATGTCAATACAACAATTGTTAGTTCTTATTTATGGACTAAAATTGTGTATTTTTTCTGAAGGAACAGCTTTGTATTTTTTGACTTAATTGTCTCACTGATATTGTAATTGCAGAAAAATTACATTAAGGAAGAAACTATTGAACGGATGAGACTAGATGAGGAGGTTATCATGGACTTTTTTAGGGAACATATTAGTGTTTCTGTAAGTTCTCTTTCAGAAATTTTGTTGTCGTTGCCCTTCTTGCATGAATATTATGCAAGTTTCAAGTCTGTTAATCTGGACATACCGCGCTCAAGTTTCTTACTCTAATTTCCGTGACATTCTGGATCAGAAAGTTGAAAACAGAGTGAGTGTACTTAGTGACTTGAGAGAGCTTGCATCGGCAGAGAGCTTGGATACCTTCACACTCATTTATACAAATATACTTGAACATCAACCTGACTGCCCGGTAAAATTATGCCCAATATGATTTAATAATTTATTCAATTCAATTTTTTCATTTCCAAATGGAAGTATAGTTCCTTATGCAATTTATTTATTTATTTTTGCAATTTTTTTTTTTAAAGTTATTATAATTTTGGCTTAGAAAGTTCACTTTTAAAAGGTTCTTGTATGACTTCAAGTGCAAGATCAGACCTTGAGTTATTCTTGTCAATGAATCTCTGTTTTTTATGTGCTATTGTAGCCTGAAGTTGTCGAGAAACTTGTTGGTCTACGAGAAGGAATTCCTCGGAAGGATGCCAAGGAGGTAAATGAAATTCAATGTTTACTGGCACATGAGATCATGAATCGAGCATTTATTTGGTTTTGTTGATTGACTTCTTGTGACCGACTACAGGAGTTTCTAAATATTCCTGTTTTTTAAGTGCATGAAATTTTTTTAGCTGAAGACATTCAACCTAAGCTCTAAATTAACATTTTAAACGTGGTTTACTTTGGTATATTTAGTGGATCTATTTCTGCAATATTTGTATAAACTTAGCGACAATGTATTGGTCTGAATTTCTATGGGCATCAATTTGGGGGAACCAGTTGATCCAAACTTGTAAAAAAGACAGGGATAATATAAATCAAAGCTGGTCATCAACTAGAAGTTATTTGCTGATGAAATTATTGATTCTGGAATTTACAATGTTATTCTTGTTAATCAGGTCATACAAGAGTGCAAAGAGATATATGAAAATTCTCTTGTTGATGGAAGACCACCAAAGGCAGGTTTTGTTTTTCCACGGGTGAAGTGCTTAACAGTATCTAAGGGTGGGCTTTGGCGTAAACTCACTTGAAGTATGATTCCATTCACTTGTTCACATAGCTTGTTTTGCCTTTTAATTTATTTGTTACTTGTGCATAAATCCCAAAAAGTTATTCCAACAATAGATAAGTTTTGTAAACACTTACCTTCATGTAAGTCGTTACTTCATCATATCTTTACTGTATATTTCAGCGCCCATTTTCAGTTTTACTATGCTCCAAAATGTGCTGTTGACATTTTCAAGATTTCCTCCTTTTTTTTCGTTGGTTTTCAAAACTCCTGCTCTGGTTTGCAACATTTTTGGTTATCTGTTGTACATTATATTTTCATGTATTGAATTGAAGAGAAGGCACGAAGTAACCTGTAGCATATGAAAAGATGTATCAAATAGTTATAACCTTGCCTTATCAAATAAATAATATTTAATATGATTTGTCTAGAGTTAAATAGAAAAAAGTATTGACTATTAGTATTTTTATTAGATTTCATGGATTTTTATTTTTCTAACCCTATAACATTAGACAAAGTTAAGTCTTAGATGCGTTAGCATACTGTCAGTGGTCAACAAATAGTTTAGGAAAAGGAAAATAAAACCAATAAAAATGTATTAGAATATATTACTTTTCATTTTTTGAGTGGGAATAATGTAAAGCGGCAACTAGCTACTTAAAAAATATAGTATATGAAGATTTCTTACACGTTAAGATTCTAATATTTGCTATACTAGCAATTTTTTCAAAGGTATCATTTTGAAGTGTGCACAACAAATAATTGGTACCTTGATAAATAAAGGTGTGATTAAAATACTTAATACCTTTTTAATGTTCTAAAATAATAAATAATTTAAGATAAATAAAAAGTAGAAAATGATAACTAACATGAGACAACGATAACATGATATTGAAAAGAGCCAACAAACTCAACGACCCAAAATACAAAAGGTTGATATGCGATAAAACACAGACTTCGCCAAGTATTTTTTGCCTAGGCTGCTATCAATATGCCCCATCCACCATGGAAAATCTCAAGCTAGAAGAGCAATACAAGCTTATTTGGACAATATATTTGAAGGAAAACAAACAAGACCGTGAAGATATATTCCAAAGAATGGAAGCACACTTAAAGAAGTGAAGGATTTTTACACTGAAGATGCTATTGGAGACTACAATGACAACAACCTCGTGTGGTGTTTTTTGTGGATGGATATTCTGTCCATGCAAAAATTTGACTCCTTGCGTCCAGAAGAATTGTGGATTAAACCTGGCCAGCAAGAGTATGTGATCATGGATTTGCATTTGTTGGAGGATCAAATTCCATAAAAACTTTTGAGCAATTATGAGACCACATTAGTGTCTTCCATACTCAATCTTGCATTTGAAGGCTTAGTAAAAAAAATATGTTCCATGATGTTGTAGTGCAATTCAGTGATGATTAAACTTGGCCTACTTTTTGAAAGGCTTTCATTCTTAGGAATTTTAAGTTCATAGTAAAGCATTGATAATCATATTGAAGATAAAGTAGTTACGCCAGTGAAGCAAATAATCAAATATCCCTGCTTTAATGTCCATAAAGTAGTTAAACAAAATATTCGAATACTTATTATGGTTTTAGGGATTTAAATCCTTTTAGAATACTACAACAGGATACCCCTTCTGGTAATTTTTATAAGATATCCATTAAAAAAAATGTTAAATTTAAGATCATTTACAAACCTTTAAAAGTATCTATTGTTTTTTTTATACATGTTCTCTTTATTATTAAACATATTTAAGATCATCTTCCTGGCTCTCCTTGTCCAGTAAATGAAATATTTATTAGACTTCACTGTATACGAATAAGGTATATGTGCCAATTCATAATTTTAGCTACTAGTTTTCTTCAACATCAACCATATGACATCACTGTTAGAAATACATTCAAGAATGTTCAAAATTATTACTTCCTTTCTTGCGTATAAGATATTACTTAAGTATTTTTTATTTGTTTCATATTATTTTTCCCTTTAAAATATCAAGAGAACATTAATTACTTTTTATAATAATATCCTTATTTATTAGAGTTTATTTACGTCAACTAACTACTTTAACAACTTCAATATTACTTTAAAAGTAATTTTTACTGATCAATAACTTTTAACACTTTTGATAAAGATATTTTAATAAAGGGTTTTGTTAATCTAAGAGTTGAGGATAAACAACTAATAATAATAAAAATTTATTAAAAAATATTTATTGTATTTTTATAACTTCAATATAATAATTGTGTACTTTTTTTATAATTTTTTTTTATTAATGAGAATGCTTAAACCCAACCTTAAAGACTAAAATTAACAAAATCCTGTAATAAAATTAAATTATTTTATCATAGTAATTGATAAAACTAATCATTAGCATAAGTTTTTAAAACGGATTTAAATTGTTAAACTTATCTTAAAAATAAAAAATTTAAAAAATAATTATTTTAATTTTAATTTGATTTAAATTTGAATTCTCATCACAATTAAACTAAAAGAAACAAAACCACAAATATTAATTTATATTAATATTTCTATTCTATCCTTGTATAAATACTTCTACGAAAATATATCTTTTAGAACAATTATATTTAAATTGAATAGGACTATCATGAGTGACAAAACACAAAATTCTTTTTTTTATAGTATTTAACACATTTATATTTAATGACTTAAACTTGAAATTACATATTAAGTTGAAACAATTTCATATCAATTGATTCACGTACTCAGTCATCTAAAAAATAAAAATAAAAAATTGACGGAAAAAACCAAAACAATCAATTCATTTTGAACTACAAAAAATATTGGATGGGATGAATTCAAAGTGAGTATCTCTGATAATCGATATTAAGTAACATCTAAAAATGAGATAGATGAATAGAATATAAGTGGGACCCATTTGCATATTTGAAGTGTACACGTTGAAATAATGGAATTGGGGACTTCAACAGGAACTTGATCAAAATAACTGTTCTACACAAAATTGACCAACTGTGAAGTGCTCATGTAAGGGTGGTGTATATAAATATTTCAATGCAATGCAGGTGTGGATCCTTATTGAAATGAAAATGAATTAGACTTAAGAGAAACGTGGCAAATAACTTAGCACATCAATCAAAGTCAACAGCCAACCCACAAAGACATTCCACAATGCAACACCCCTTTATTCATTCTTCCTCCACTTTAACCAATTATTTCATAATTTATTCCTAAAGTTTATAGGAATTTGGAACAACTTTGGATGGTGGCTGGGGACAGAGAGACATTCAAAGATGGGCACCTTGAGCTTGTTCACACTAACTGAGTCTGCAACTGTGAACTGTGAAGTGCGTGGAATGAAAATAAGTTAAGACTTTCATCCAAATGCAATACACCTTAATTATTTTATTGTCCAAAACCGCTTCACTTTAAGCAAGAAGTTGATAGAAAATTGGGAACACATTCTGCACATGAACATCTACTGTTATATATGGCACTGCCACTTATATTCCATCATTAGCCATATCCACTGCTTAATTGAATCTAAATCGATAACTATGGGCAGTTTAGTGGCAGTGACACTTATCTCTGCCATGCTCATGATCATGCTAATGCCCACTTGCACGGCACTTTCCAATATAAATAAAGAAAAACACGCTCTGCTCCAAACGGGTTGGTGGAGTCATTACCGAAATATCTCAAACCATTGTGATTGGAAGGGTATCACATGCAGTGAAGATGGAAGTGTTACAGAGATTTATGGATTGGACTTAAGTATTCCTCCTTCACAAGAGATGCTGGAGATTGAGAAGTTGAACGTCACTGCCTTCACGAATTTAGTCACTCTAGATCTATACGGAATGAGACTCAGAGGAAGCATCCCTACAGAAATAAGCAGACTTACAAAGCTTGAATTTCTTTACCTGTCCAACAATCGCCTTCGTGGTAAGCTCTAGGCCTAATGTTTAGTGGTGTTGAGTTATCTCTTTTACATTCAATTGGTTGCACAGTCTCATACATACATCTCTTCCTTCCTTTTTCCACCACATTGCAGGTCCTATACCCCTCCAACTTGCCAATTTGACACGTTTGAAGGAATTGTCTCTCTCCAATAATTCCCTTTCCGGTTCAATCCCTTCCACATTGGGTCAATTGAAGAATTTAACCTCTCTCTACCTTTATTCAAACCAAATTGAAGGTCCTATTCCAATAGAACTAGGGAATCTGACACAATTGATCACATTATCTGCCTTTAATAATTCACTTGCCGGTTCAATCCCTTCTACATTGGGTAAATTGAAGAATTTAATACATCTCTACCTTGATTCAAACCAACTTACAGGTCCCATCCCTGCGGAAATAGGGAATTTGACACATTTGAGGTATCTATATCTCTCACACAATTCACTTACTGGTTCAATTCCGTATACTTTGGGTTTATTAGCGAATTTGACCTATCTTCGCCTTGATTCTAACCACATTGAAGGTCCAATACCAATGGAATTAGGGAATTTAAAAAGTCTATGGTTAGTAGATCTCTCATACAATTTACTCACTGGTTCAATCCCTTCTACTTTGGGTCAATTGAAGAATTTGACACTTCTCTTTCTTCGTTCTAACCAAATAGAAGGACACATACCTGAAGAACTAGGAAATTTGTCCAATTTAGACACTTTACATCTTTCGCATAATAAGATCTCTGGTTTAATACCTCCAAATATTTTTCAAATGCCCAACATGCATTCTCTATTTCTTTCATCAAATCAGTTATGTGGCTCACTCCCAATAGAGAATTTGATTTGTCCCTCTTTGACAACATTAGATTTAAGCTTTAACATTTTAAACGGCAGCATCAGTTCCCAACTTAGTTGTGTCAATAACCTTAATCTTAGCCACAATTTTCTCAGTGGTGAGATTCCATCACTCAGGGGAATGAAATCTGTGTTGGATAGATTGGATCTTAGTTATAATAATCTCACAGGTAAACTACCCAAGGAACTTGCTAGGCTATCATACCTAAATCTTTCATACAATTCTTTTGACTTTTCCCAAGACTACTGTTCTTTCCCAAAAAACTCACTATTTAGTTACAACCCACCAAATTTCACATCATGTCAAGCTGACCCACAAACCAATTCACAAACAAGTAAAGCTAAGTTTATCATCATGATTGTTCTTCCTATTATTTGCATCATCTTTTTTGTATTTCTTCCATTGTTATACTTCAAAAGATGTATGTCTAAGACCAAACTGGAAGGAAGGACAAAAAAAAATGGAGACTTGTTTTCTATATGGAACTATGATGGTAAAATTGCATTTGAAGACATCATTGAAGCCACTGAGGACTTTCACATCAAGTACTGCATTGGAACAGGTGCATATGGCAGTGTTTATAGAGCACAATTGCCAAGTGGCAAAATTGTTGCATTGAAGAAACTTCACCAAATGGAATCTGAAAACCCATCATTTGACAAGAGTTTTCGGAACGAGGTCAAGATGCTAACAGAAATACGCCACAAAAACATTGTGAACCTTCATGGCTTTTGCCTCCACAATCGGTGCATGTTTCTAATCTATCAATACATGGAAAGTGGTAGCTTATTTTATGCCTTGAATAATGACATGGAAGCTATGGAATTAAATTGGAGCAAGAGGGTGAATATCATTAGGGGAATGGCACATGCTTTGTCCTACCTGCATCATGATTGTACCCCACCCATTCTACACAGAGATGTTACAAGTAGCAATGTTTTATTGAACTCTCAGTTGGAGGCTTTTGTCTCCGACTTTGGCACAGCTAGATTTCTTGATCCCGACTCTTCAAATCAAACCCTAGTAGTTGGCACATGTGGATATGTTGCCCCAGGTGAAGGTTTTATTTTTATTTCTAAAATAAGAAAATCTATTTATGACTTCACTGAATAAATTTAATTATGTAGTATGAGAAGTTGAGCTAACTTTTTTAGTTTCTTGGTTCATGACAGAGCTTGCTTATACATTGACTGTGACAGAAAAATGCGATGTTTATAGTTTTGGAGTGGTAACACTAGAAACATTAATGGGAAGGCATCCTGAAGAGCTAATATCGTCTCTGTCAAATTCATCTACTCAAAATATGTTGTTCAAGGATCTCTTGGATCCTCGTCTTCCTCTTCCTTCAAATTCAAAAGTTGCTGATGAAATACTTCTTGTGGCAACACTAGCACTGCCATGCTTGCTTCCCAAACCAAATTCCAGGCCATCGATGCAGCAAGTGGCTCAGCAACTTTGTGACTCCAAACATCCAATGCCTTTTCCTCTCTATGAAGTTTCCATCCTTCAGTTGATGACTAAAGGGATTCATCTTCTTTCATCTGAGTATCAAAAGGGAAATTTTCAACAAGAAAACTAATATTCAATAAGTTTCAAAACACATTATCCATTGTCCTAAGTTTTAAAACACATTTGACTTTTCCAAACTTCAATAATGATATTATGTGGGACAACTGCTTTGCATTATCCATCATTTTAAGAGTTTCTTTTACTTCTCCAACTCAGAATCCTATGGTAATATTCCACATTTAGATTTTCTTGCACTTCTAATCATGCTCTAATTCCATTTGTAGATTGTCCATCCTTAAAAAGGTCATAAAAATGTTTCTCCCACATGTCTTTTGATATCTTAATTCAAAATAAAATTTTCTTCTTCTTCATCCTTAATATATTTAATTTGATTTAAATCTCTATATTTTCTTTCTCTACTTTTGTCATGTTTTTAAATTTTTATTTCACCGTACTTTGTCTGTAGATCTTGATAGAATTCTTCAAAAGTCTTAGAATTGCTTCACTTACTACTTTTCTTATCTCATTTCTTGTCTTTTGATAACTTGTCTAATTTTTAATTATTGCATGTATGTAAAGTTTTAAAACACATTCTACCTTTGTGCATTTTAGCTACCCTCTTCTACTAGGTGTTTATACATGTGTTTCTAGACTAACTTTTTAATCTCCATTCGTCTAAGTCAAATGTGAGGACCCTTACTTATTTAACATTACTTTCGGGCATTGATGTAGCGGCTTTAGCTTGTTTGACATTGTACTTCAGCCATTGAACGCCCTACTTTCAAGTAATGTCCTAACTCGAGCATAATATTATCGTGATTGATTTACATAAAAAGGTTTAGACAAGTTTTACGTTAGCTGATAAATGCGTAATACAACCCTCCTCCCTTATTTGGGCTTAGACCGACTATGGGACCATAGACAAAATTAGATAGATCACAACACATGACAAAACTTTTTCTCAAAACATTTAACGCTATTACATACCTGGGACTCTAACTTGAGACCTATGTTGATTATTGATTGGAATGACAATGGGTTAGGAGGAGGAGCAACAAGGCATGAACTGATTGAGGAAGAAAGTGGGGTGATATCACATGTAATGAAGGTGAAAGTGCTATTTAGGAAAACCAATGGACACTAACCAAACCAATAGTAAAAAGACTAGATAGAGCAAATTCGGATGCAACCTATTTAACATTGCAATTAATTATTATTTCTCAATCAGCTAAATTAAAAGGTTTTGTCTAGCGGAGAAATGTCAGTTACATTATATAATTCAAAGCATGAGAATTCATTGTTTCTCTCTTATTTGTTTAGGATCTACTGTCGTTATTTAGAAGATAAAATGTAGCTCTTACAACGATACGGATCTAGTGCAGTTGACAAGGAAACTGCACGTGCAGTTCTTCATTCGCTTAAGCCAATTTGACAAGGCTTAAGCGAATTTTACAATTTTCGCTTAAGTTCCTATGCCCTAGCTTAAGCGAATGAAGGCTTAAGCGAGTACTATATGTATGGAGCGAGATAATGAACTAAAGCGAGTGTTTGATGCGCTTAAGCTAAAATATACGTGCTTAGGCAAAAAATAACAGAGAGCCTACCTCCCAAGATTACAAACTGGCTTAAGCGTGCTTGATTTGGCTTAAGCTGGTGAATTATGGGCTTAAGCGCACATTTTTAAGGCTTAAGCGAGTAATGATGGGCTTAAGCGCTACCATAATGGCTTGAGCCTAAAAAGACAGAGAGCACACCTCCTAGGATTATACTTTCGCTTAAGCGTTTGTGGCTTGGCTTAAGCGGATGAGCCAATAGCTTAAGCGGATATGCTTTAACTTGAGCGAAAATTGCATAAAAATAGTGCAGAGAAAATGTTCTTTTGGACTAATAAACGAGCTTATGCTATTACAGAATGGCTAAAGCGAACTGATACTAGCTTAAGCGAAATTTTTGAGCTTAAGTGAGTATTGGAGGGCTTAAGCGAATATGCAGGAAAACTGAAAAATAACAACTTAAATTGATAAACATGGATACACCACTTCTGAAAACAAAATACATTTGTCCTTTACATAATTATTTTTGGCAAAAAAAAAAAAAATGATTAAGATACAATAACTTTTAATTATTAGTCAAGGATTGAACAAGTTATGTCATCTAAAGGTTCTTGAAAAAAAACATAAATCCGTCAAAAAAATTATACAACGAAGTGAGAGAAAGAATTAAATTTTCATTTTGAAATTTAATAAACTTACGGTCAATAATGTAGTGAAACTGAATTGGTTGTTCAAAGCTTGAGGAGGATGATAAGATGGAGGTGCTGAACAATGCATGTCACAAGGTTCGGAAGGAGGACTGGGTTGATATTCCGAAAATATTTATCAAATAAGCAGAAATGGTTAATAAGGAATCAAAATTGAAATTAATGCATTGGTAAATCAATTGATATATGTACCTTAGCATGTTGGTTTTGTGATTGACCTCTCTTTATCACATTTCTTTTCCTTTTTCCTTGTAGTTCAACCCAACTTTTGAATCATTTATATGTATTCCTCTTTAAGCTTGGTCAGTGCTTGAAACCTTTTGGGATTGTACCATCATTGATCATCGACATAGATGTATTATTGTCAGTGTAACTGTCAACATGTTATGTTTGTAATTGAAGGTGTGATTATTTGATAACACACAACATTTAAACATTCATCCACTAATGTCGAGTATTCTTCTGAACTAGATACCTCTGATGCAAGTCTAATCATTTTAGAAGCAAGTTGTTTGTATCGTCGTGTAGTAGCAACTTTTGGATCCCCCTCAATCTCTCTTCGTATGAAATTGTTTATAATGCTAGAACGACCTTTCTTTGTCCATCTCTTAAGGATATATTTTTCAGGAATAGCCTTGACATCATTTGCTTCAAATACCTTCAATGCATGGGAACAAAGCATACTAAATGTTTCAAATTTTTTACAGGTGCAAGAAATTGATTTTGAGACATTATCAAATGATACTCTGCATGATTTCTCTTGACTGAATGTAGTGATGACATATTCAAATATAGGAAGAGATTCAATCCTCTTTGAAATGCAACATGCTAATAATGAAGTAAATTCTTGTTGGAAAAGGGTGAATATAGGATGAGTGTAAATTTTTTCCATTTGTATCAAGATGGGAGACATCTCATATCTTAACATTGGTAGCTTATGTCGGGACTCATACTCACAAATTAGTTCATTGTAATGCTTCTCTTCAGCTATACGTTCAAAGCTTTGAAAGAATTGTTTAATATTAACACAAGTTTCATAGAAGCTTTAAAATCAGAATTTAAACTTTTAATATTTAGTCATAGGACAATCTATCTAGATTAGAATAAATATTTAATGGCACAAGTTAACCTATAATGAAAATTTGGGCATTCAGTTGCATAAAACTATAGAACTAAATATCAAGGAATCTAGCTCACACATGAAATGTCATCAAGTTCAATTACAAAATTATAGCAGCGATGCAAGATGAGACATATCAACTACACTAGATCACACCTCTAGCTTTGCAAGTTCTACGAGGGAATAAATGCATAACAAAAAGATGTAAGCTTTTCAATCTGAAAGATAGAAATAGAATACTTCAAAATTTCAGAGCATTTACATAAGAATAAATGCATCTCATCCATTTTAATTACAATATACGTACCCGGCCCAAAAAGATTAAATCTGACAAAACAAAGAAAACCATGATCGGAGTAATAAAGCACGACATGTAATAATTCGATTCAAAAAGGAATTGGAAAAATATAACTAGTAGTAATTGTATAATTAGGATTGAAAAGTAAATAAAAATTGGTGCAAATAGGAGGAAGACTACCCAAGCACATATAAGGAGTATTATGACTTTATTTCTAACCAATGGGAGACATTTTAACAAAGGGAAAAAGATTTACCATCAATTTTGCTTTCCTATATATCATTATAATACCACAAGTCTTATTATATCAGGAAAATGAAAGTCCAAATGGAATACATGAAATGGAACACTCCTTAGCATGCTCATTGACTAGTAATTCCGTGTTGAAGCTTTTATAACTACAGTTTATTTGCTTAATCCTCTTCCACTAAATCTAAATGTACAAGTAGGTTTACCACAAAGAGCTGTAAGTAATAGCATGAGACAATGTACAGTCGCTGATTATAAACCTTGTACACAAAGGAGTCTACCTCAATTATTCCATGGGTAAATAATATCACACATTAAGTTCATAATTTGATAGAAAAAGGATAATACAATAACTGATTCTTAAAATGAGTTAATAGTAAAATGCTGTTAATTATAACACAATTAAATCCTATTTCAAAGCAGCTTCAAAATAAAGAGTAGTGCAGAGAAACATTAAAATGATTAAAGGTGCCTAAAAGTTGAGCCTTCCTTAAAAACTTAACTTTTTGGTTGGTCTCTCCCAACAGAGAAAGGATCTTATAAAATTAACAAATGCCACTGAATGCAGTGTGCACACGATATTATTCTTTAGTAAAAGGCGAAAGCATTGAAGAAAAATCAGAGTTTACACAGTTATTTCTGTTTCTTTTATTCCCTTTTCTTCACTCTGCTATATTATTTTGAAGCTATCAATTCTTGTACCAGAGAGTAAATATGCTTCACAATAACACTAAGCAGCACTAGGTGAAGAATCTTTAACATCCTTTCGTGAAACTGAGCTTGATCTACCTGCAGGGATAGTCATATCATGTATCTGTATTTGAAAACCATTATTTCCGTTGTGTAACATTTTTTCTAGTGATATATGTGGCTCAACTCTTTCTTGGAAAACTCGCACAAATTTTTTTATAGGATAAATATTTCCTTAACGTCAATTTTTATTGTTTCATAATGAACTAGTAAATAGGCCTTTTTACCCAACTTGTATAATTTCATTTTAAAATTATATGTTTGTTGTAAATTTTAAATTATTATGCAATTAGTGACAATTTTTTTGAAAAAATATATATAAGTCGTATAGGACGTAGATGACTTATATATTTTGTTTAAAATTAATATATACACTCTTTCAATTATTGCAAC